TATATGTATATATATACAATTAATATATATACAATTAATATATATATATATTGTCTTTTGTGATACCAGTGAGTCGTCGTTGTTAGTGAGCACCGCCCGGTGGTCGTTCGTATTACTAGTTGGGTAATCAAATGAACTTGAATTCACACCGCATCTGCACAGGAACAATCTGATGAAACAATGATTATCTGAGACGGCTCGTACTCCTCCGCCTCCTTGGTTGCGTTACGATCATTCCACACCCCTCATTCTAACATACAGCAGCACTAAGTTAAATATTATGTCCGTACATTTGCCAACCTATTCCCACACATGCGTGGTATAGCGAGTACGTAACGTACTCACATGTATGTCCTTTTCTCGAACTGTTGTAGGTTTCTGTCAGAGGCCGAGGTAATGCGTGATTTAAGGCATTCGAACATCGTGCGAATCATCGGTGTCAGCGGTGTGGACGAATCAGAACGCGCAGAGATATGTATACTCATGGAGTTCTTGCCCGAAGGGGATCTGTGTCACTACCTACGGAAGAACACCCAGGTGTGTATGTGTTTGCAACGATTGTTGTGTATCTGTATATTGGCTTCTCACAGTATGTCATCTCATGAAGCCGTTGATAAGGAGACGTCGGGGGCACGGGAGCTTTCATACTATCTCCAGAGTGTGTATAGGTGAGCGTACCGAACCACCCACCCACCTACACAATAATATCTGTGACTTCACTTCTAATTTGTCAGTTTTATTCTCACAAAGGCCTTCTGATAAGTCTTCTCATAGTGGATAATGCCTACTTATAGTTGTATTATGCATCTTATTTCTTTCCTTGATGGGTAGATATCTGAGGTAGAGGGGCTAATAGTTTCTGATAATAGTCTTCTAATAATAGTCTTCTAATAGTAACCTTCTAATAAAAGTCTTTTAATAGTGGTTTTCTAATAATAGTCCTTTAAGAACAGTCTTCTACTAATAGTCTTCCAATGAAAGAGTTTAACAAAAGTCTTTTAATAATAGTCTTCTAATATCTGTATCATGCATCTCCTTACTTTCCTTGATCGGTAGATATCTGAGGCTGAGAGGCTGTCCTTCTGTTACCAGATTGCAGACGCATGTGCGTACATTGCCAATCACGGGCTAGTCCATCGTGATTTAGCTGCGCGCAACTGTCTCTTGGGCTCTACGGGGCCACACGGATACCCCGTGTGCAAGGTGAGATCATTGCATATGGTAGAGGATGTCTAGAAATTTTTACTATATATATATTATATATATATATGTATATATATATATATATATGTATATGTATGTACGTATGTATACATATATATTTATTTTTATGTTATATACATTCATTTGCGATAGTTAACGCCACCGTCTGTAATCTTTTATTCTGCAAAATAGTGCGTGACTAGCAATGCCCAGAGGTCCCTAAAGACTAATAGCCCTCACTCCCGCCGATTTACCTACTATTCTATGAACAGATTGGTGATTTTGGATTGGCTCGTGCCTTGGAGGGTAGCGATACCTATACCATGCTCAACGGCGGCCTGATGCCTATACGGTATACAGTTTTTCTTGTGTCTAGAACTAGAAATTTATGTTGTGGCTTTAAAGTGCGATGAATATATGGTACTGATTTTTACGATGCAAAAACGTTCATATATTATTGTGCGGCTGCATACTTGTGTGCATGTCTGCAGTTAGTTTTCGGATGGTATGGTTGTATGTATGTCTGTAGTTGAGTTCCCGACCTGTAACCTGATGTATTGTTATGTATATGATAGTATAGTATATTTATATATGTATATATGTATATA